CAATCGCATCTTTGAGTAATACGAAGTATGCATTCAGTAGTGTTGTGACGCTTTAAGCTGAGAAAGCATTGCTGGGGATAATATATATTATCATGCACGCAATCACTACGGGCTGCAGCTGTGGAGATGACGTCCGCTTACGGCGCGCTCCCATTCGATATTCTCCGCATTACATATTCCCAACAAGTACCAGATATGTAGTAATGATTAGAGAGGAGTACCTTGCAGGATAGATGGTAGATTGTCAGGAAAGCTGCATGCTCTCTTATCAGCAGACTAATCATCTATAACTTCGTATACATATGTGGCTCTAGCACTTGTCATGAGCGTAAGGACGCTGTATATAGTATGGACTGCTTACTTAAATAGATCTAGATGTAATATTAAGGTGTCTTACTTGTACACGGTCTCCGCTAGATCTGCAGGACATAAAAGCGGTCTACTTTTTATAGCCCTTCGTTTAACGTGCATTACACTAATACCTGGTACAGCTTATTCCCAGCTGAAAACCGCGCTGGCGGCCCATCTATCTTCCTGTCTCGGCAACGAGAATGAACCTGTTATCCAAATCGGTACTTTGCCGGGGGAGTATACGCAGGTGTGGCGACTCTAGAGTGTCTTGGTACGCACATATGTCTTGTACAGGACGCTTAGAACTCAGGAATCGTGTGACGGAAGCTACATCACATTTGCTGTAGAACAAAGTATTAAACCTCTAGTAGATAAACTATTTCTCGCTTATATCAGAGCCATTGGCGGCTTAACTATCCTCAAGCAGCTGATAAGTTACGCAAAGGCATATATCTTCTTGCGTCGGAATGCCCCCGAGCGGTCAACGGAGATTTGGCGCTATATGTTATACCCTCATAATTCGAGCCCAACGCTTGCCAAGAAATCCTTGGCAGTGATCAGTAGGCGCTTTCCTCGCTCCCTGGCCACCGTATTCTTCAGGAATACAAAATTAAGTCAGATAGAGGTCTTGTAACGGTGTGTTTGACTAGCGCTATTGGGTCATATTTAGATGTATAATCAATTTAGTGTCAGAAAGATGTGGCGAAGGCGGTCCCATTGCGAACGATATCCTGGGCCGTGCCTTCGAGCACGTGATCTTCATTGCTCACGTTGAGAATCGTCACAAAACATGTAATAGCGAGCAACTTATATTTTTGAGTAGTCGGCTAAACGTAGCAACTCTCCCAGTGCGCGCAATCAGTGTTATATCGTTCACTTCGCTTATTCTCGTCGCCAGCATCACGGAAGAGCAGGGCATTCGCTATATCAAGCTCTTTGGTGCTGTCGGTTACCCTTTACCATACTACAGAACTATGCCTGTCGAGTTGCTAGCGATGACTAAGAAGAAAGAATACAGGACCCCACTACGTCACTATACGATCGCTGGTTGGTAGAAGCTTGAATGTGAAGGCAGCAAACACATTCTGCTCAAGATTTGTGCGTGATCTCTACTACTGGTGTCTAGACACTTAATTAAAAGGATAAGATCCTAATATCCCGTCAATCCGGCAGGAATCGGTTGATTAGACTTGTAAGCAGAAACATATTGCTGAGTCCAAGTCAAATATTTGTTACCGTGGCTGCCCGGCTGATTCGGATCCTGCGGTTCGATGTCTCGGGAATATTCTGTGAAAATCCAGTTGTCAGTTTCAGAATACTACCGGTAAGGGAACCGGGGACATATTTACCTCCATCATACTCGTCTACAAATTGCGGGTTGCCATTCGCATCATCAGCCTGTCTCTGGGCCATCCACTCATTCCACCATGTTAGGAGGACAACCTGAGGATGGACATTAAACGCTTCGGCCCACTGCGCTGCGTAAGTCGCGCCCTCCTTTCGAGACGTAGCCGTAGATTTATCGGATATGTAACTCTGCTGCTTAGCCACACAAACAGAGATCTGTTCAGGGACACCGCCTGTCCTAGCGATATTTTGCGGCGCATCCTGGAGAAACGACCACTCGCTCTCCGCCAGACTGCCCTGTAACCCCCACATCTTGCGCAGCGTGAAGCTTCCCGCCAACTCACCGGGAAGTGTGTCGGTAGTCAGCATCAGCGGCTTTCCTTTGAACGTGACCCAGAAGTTGGCGTAAGCCGGGTTGCTGTAGTATCTGTCGTTCACGAAGCGGCCGACGGCTGAGGGGTCTGCATCGGTGGAGGCCGTTCTCACCCAAAATACCACATTGGGACTACGAAACCTCATCAGTTAATGTTGAGATGAGCTCTATGAAGAACCACCTACGTTGGATTGCCGGCCGAGGCTTGAGCTTGCATCTCTGCGAGGAGGGCATCGGAAGGCTCTGTGAATAACCCCGGTGCATAACCACCGTATCCCTGGCAAACCGCATGTAAGTGAAAGTCTTATACATTGCGCAGGATATTCTTGGACATCGGTTAATACTTACCGCTAAATTGGTGGCATCGATAACGATGAAGTCAATTCCAGCCCCCTTGATCTGGGAGAAATGCCGAGCCAATACATTATTGTCACCCCCTGCATAGTATCCTCCATCAGGGCGGCCCCACCAATGCCAGGCAGGTTGAGCCGCGAAACCCCCATTCCCTGCTTCAATCTCAGAGATATCTGGGGGGCTCCCGTTATCGTATCCAAGACTGTGCCATACGGAATAGCAGATACCGACGGCGTTAGGGTTGCTGTCGATGTCAAAGACTGCTGCTGCCTGCACGGCGGTGACTGCTGCGATAGCTGCTAGGAAGCGACGCATCTTGTGAGAACTGTGAGATGTGTAGGTGATCCGGGGACAAGTTGCTTGTCGAGATCTTCAACGTTCATAAAGGATCATGCTTGATTATATACCTACCTCGCCTATCACTAAAATAACTCACTATACCTAGGTAGTTACGGAAGATACATACCGAATCGAATCTCAGGATTCTACTGCATGCTCTGAACGGAATGCCTAGTGTATGATGTCAAGTTACGCCTCCTGGAGAGTGAAGGAGCAAAATGTGCCTAGACAATACGGTTTAGTGCCCGATGCCAACGACCAACGAAAGACGAACCCTCTATCAAATGAAAACAGTAATACGCTTAGTTAGGCGCGTATCATCATTAACATCCAAACTAGAACGCGGACTGTAGAGAGCCGCCAGAATCTTTTCGGCAGCCGAGATGGTCGGGCTCACATCCTCATCCACGCCGTTGGCGATCCTAAGCCCGATAAGTACCGATCTCCGCCGCCGGTGTCCGGGCCACGACTAGTTGCCGAAACTGGTAAAAGCGCATTGAGATTTGCTAAAGTCATTTTGATTCAGATTCCCAAGAATATATTATATATTCCAGGGGGAGACGTGGAAAGACGACGATTCTTACTCTGTTCTATACCGGCGTTTAAGTACTTGATTATTTTAACGCTCGTTGGTATCAAGTTTGCATGTGCGTTGTTGATGATTATCTCATGTTTCTAAACTCACGACATTTGCTTTTTATCTCACTGATGATAGCGAACAGCAAACCGTAAGAGGCTTAGTTAATGGTTAGGGGATCGGCATATGGCGTCCTTCCCGTAGGGGTATGGCTACTCTGCGGGGCATTAGTAGGCGGCTTGAGATGTCAAAAACGAGGAAAAATCTCGTTGACGCCATCGAGCAGATTAACTTGGTGTATGATGATCAACAACAAGCGATGTACGTTGTCAGAGATCAATAGCTTATCTAAAAGCAAGGAAAGACACAAAACGGAGTGTCGGCGGCTACGGCTTGGCGGAGCGTGCACTGCCACAATTAGTCAGCAAGAGCTTTCATACCGAGTGTTCGATATTGCGTAGTTGATACGAGGCGTAGCTCTAGATGTCCTATCTGGCTTTGTTATCAATCACTCCCGTAAACGTGCCCCTCTCCCCCAACATCTTTCTAATGATCTTATACATGATAGTTTAAAACCTGAGCACTTCTGAATCCTTCTATTACAAGGGCTGAATACAGGGCTTGGAGAATGACTCAATATGACAATAATATCCGATGAGGGCATAGAGCCTTGGATATCAAGATCGGCTCTCGGTCTCTTGGAGGGCCAACTGGTCTTATATATAGTACTCCTAGGGTCTCAATACCTCCCTTTGGCAAGGTCTAGCTAAGTGTCTTAGAGTCTGAATAGCTTCATTTATTTATGATCGAAGACCCCTACAATTCAGCTACATGCCTATGAGATCATGAATACGAATACGAGTGCCTGATGCAGTTCGCGGAGCCGTGCATAGGTGACCTCGCGTCTGCGCGTAGGCTCCCGTACAACACTTTTCATGTACCCTTAATCCTGAGAGATAAATGGTAAGAAGTAGTGCAGTCTGGGTCAAACAATGATGCGCCGTGGCTTCGAAAAGGAAACTATGGCCGATGCAAGTTTATACGGAGGAAGCAGCACATATGATGACTGTATTCTCAATCCAACCCTCAGGATGACTAACGTCAGACGCTACGGTCACTTGAGGATGGCTGATAAGAGACAACCAATTGCATTCAGCGTTACAGTTAAACAACTTAGAGATAAGCTATAGCAGAGCCTCATAAATTTAAGAGCAATGGGCTAAGTCGATCGTGACAATGTTCCATCTTTAGCGCTCTTGGGCAGGTAACGTCAGATTGGTCTTGACTCTAGATAACCTCCTTGGCAGGTAATCGCGAATTCCGGCCCGCCCCGTTCGTGATCGTAAGGTCGTAACTTGGAACACTGTGTTATAGCTAAGCTTGAGTTTCACATGCTCAGGCCACTATTGAGAGTACAATGCATATCGTCACTCTGGACCTACCAGCCTGCCTGGAAGGTATATCCTTAGATCGCTAAATGAAGTAGATGATAACTCGGTAATGATGAGATTATTCTTAACACCTGAATTCTAGTCAGGAATCGAGCTAGAAATTCTATTCTAATAACTTTGTTTAGACTTTGAATAATGATATTATTCTTGACTTGGCTTAGTTTACATAGGTATTCTCAAAGCTGTTTTGCACCAACCAATTATAGTCGCCCGCTTGGCTAAGTGGTATAGCGTGTCACTAGTATTTACTGGATGCCATGACAAGATCAGCGGTTCGATTCCGCTAGTGGGCAGTCAGTATTCACGATCCGAATTGGTGTAGTGGCTAACATTTGACGCTCTCAATTGATCTTCGGATCGCTTGAACTAGTACCGTCAAGCCCGGGGTTCGATTCCCCGATTCGGAGTTAATTATAATTTTTTACACTTTTGTGTTGAACTACCTCTCAAGACTAAGCTTTCTATGTAGAGAAGCTGTCCTCTTTTCTTGTCTTTATATACTGCTTGCTATTATATTCACATTCTACGTACTATTGAATAATATTAAATTATCTAATCGCCTTGTATGCTCTTGATATATATTCATAATGGTGAATTGGTATTGGGTAAGGTGAACACAAATATTGTACGCGGTGGTGTAGACCTTCTCCTCACTCGCTTATTCCGATATGGCTAGTCCCCGGGTAGGCCCGAAGTGCCCGACGGACAATACAGGGTTAGGTAGTAAGCCAACCCCGGCCCAGACCTTGACTAGTGTAAATATCCCTGGCGCGATGATACACTTAGCCCTAGTCTAGTGTAGAGTCGTACAACGGTTATACCTACATAGTGGCTCCTGCAAGCAATATATAACACGTTCTCCGTTTAATAAGGAAGCAGCATTATAATCCCTTTGAAAGACAAGGTAGCACGATCGGAACAGGGCTTGGCAAAACTGCCATGAGGATCATCTCCACGTTGCTGGCTAATAGCTGGGTTTACAGACTCTCGAGGCATTAAGACGGGAATACGGGCCCTTATTCACGTACTGCTCGTTATCAGTCACCAAGACTGATTTATTTTCCCTGTGAATCGAGACCCTGAGCTCGAAACCCTGAGACCAGCCGCCCAGTCACTTAATTGGCCACTTATGATATGCAAAGATGCCTTAGTACTAGTAAGTAGCCCACTCCTTGCACCAACGATATGTACAGCATCATATCCACTTCAAATCCACATTACATGGTATCACGCTGGATATGTGCTACCCCGGAGGACTGCTGCGCACACTGTGCCGCATCTTTGTCAAGTAGCCTATCTTTCTGTTGCAGAATGGATATCGAATCGCATCTGGATTGCCTAAAGCGGAGAAGTAGGAAACCAGAAGTTTGAGGTGTACGGTAATGTGTGACCTTCATTGCCTTGAGTGTTAACTATTATGGTGTTCAGCCGCTTATGTTGATGTTGTTGACCCAACACGGCCAAGAGCTACAATGGCTGGGTCCCACATACTCAACGGACTGGAGCACCGTACCTCACAGGTTCGGCAGCGGTGAGAGACTTGACCGAAGTAGCAGCTGACACGCAGGATCCCCTTGTAACATGCTGATTCCTGCTGCAACTAACAGAGTTAACTCTCCGCCTTCGAGATACAGGGGCTCAGTATCAAATAACTTTATGTAGGTAAACTCAGTGTACACACTCACGCGGTTATTCCTTGCGATCCTTTCTCCTCTTCTGCATGGTGAGATCCATCCGGATACGGAGGATACATGAGATCCTGCTGGTGATCAGGCCAGACCCTGACAGAGAAACGAGGAGGACCAGATGATTAACGATAGACCTACTTGTAAGTAAGCGCACCGTAGTTGAAGATATTGGGCTCTGCGTAGCTATAAAGAAAAAGAAAAGCCACTTTCTTTCTAGTAATTTTGCTGCTTCGGCCTCTTTGTTACTAGACCGGCGTCACTATCGGGACGCTTAGACATAGATCGCGAGAAGAACTTTTAGCCCAGGCCCTTATCCCGACTTTTATCATCATAGAACCCCACATTTCTAGCAAGATGTCCGTTGAGCCCATTGCCGTAATTGGCTTGGATGCCAAATATCCATGTGATGGGGATACTCCAGAGAAGTTCTACGAATTTCTCCTCGCCGGAAGATCTGCCAGACGTCCCATACCACCAGAGAGATACAATTCAGCTGCTTTCTGGCACCCGGATAACCACAGAGATGGAGTTGTATGTGATATCCTCTTGCCCAAACTTATCACCATGACTGACGAAGAGAATCTAGATTGGCGGAAAGGAAGGGCATTTTATTAATGGAAACGTCAAAGCATTCGACGCCCCCTTTTTCTCGGTCACGCCTGCTGAGGCAGCAAGCATGGACCCTCAACAACGAATGCTTCTTGAATGTGTCTATACAGCCCTTGAGAGTGCTGGTATTACAATGGACGCTGCCAAGGGTTCGTTGACAGGATGTGTAAGTAGTGTTAAGTCTCCTGAATGTGTCATCTTGTGGTTTCTACGCTATTTTAGATGGTTTGGCAAAGAGAAACTTCCAGCTTGATTTTTTCGTGACCAAGAAGCTTTTCTCAAGTTCTAATAAGAGGAAGGATCTGCTAACATAGAGTACACAAGTACGTGGGATCCTTTATCTGGGATTATCGGGATGTCTTGATTAAAGATGTCGATGCGCCAATGATGTACACAGGATCTGGCACAATCGCGAGCACACTTGCGGGACGTGTTTGCTGGTTTTACGATTTCATGGGACCAGCTTTGAGCGTCGATACTGCCTGTTCGAGTAGTATGGTAGCCCTTCACCAAGCTATTGTTGGCTTAAAGGCGGGAGACTGTGATATGGTAAGACCCCAGAACAGCTCCATGTCCATCAAGCATGAACTGAGTATGCTCATCTAGGCTCTCGCCTGTGGTACCAATTTGATCTTGTCTCCTGAAATGGGGCTTGAACTTAATGCTCTTGGTGTGCTGAACCGAGATGGGGCTTCATACAGCTTCGATGAGCGGGCAAGCGGCTACGGGAGAAGTGAAGGAATTGGCGCCATTGTTCTGAAACGGCTTTCGGATGCTCTTCGTGATGGAGATAGTAAGTATTGCTCGCTTATTAACTACGTGACGGAATGACTTGAGATACTAACTTTCACATTTTGTCTAAACAGCCATCCGTGCTGTAAGTACACTTGATTCATCTCCTCATCTCATAAGCCTCGAAATGAAGGTTGCTAAAACGCGAGTGTTCAAAGGTTATTAGAAACTCTGGTTCCAACCACGATGGACACTCCCCTGGTCTTACTGCACCTTCGAAGGAGTCACAGGCAGAGCTTATGCGCAAAACCTACGCTCAAGCTGGTCTTGATCCATCGGTTACACGGTTCTTCGAAGCCCACGGGACTGGCACGTTGGTAGGAGATCCTATAGAGGCGAGCGCCATTAGTGAGATGTTTACTCCCTACCGATCTCCAGAAGAGCCTCTTTATATTGGCGCTGTCAAAAGCAATATCGGGCACTCAGGTCAGTCCTCCGGAATATTTTACTCCAGTTTGACATGTCCCAAAGTACCTGTTGTCCGGAAAAGGGGCTCCTCTAGTCCTAGTACTTCAAGCTTTCAAAACCAGACAATTGCTGACTACATGTTATGGAACAGAGGGCGCATCGGGTATCACATCTGTGATCAAGAGCATTCTCACGCTCGAACGTGGGATCATACCCGCCAATGCCTGGTTCAAGAACCGTAACAGCAAAATACCGGATGACTGGCATTTTGAGTTCCCTACCAAAGCACTTCCATGGCCGGAGACCAAGACCGGTCTTCGTCGAGTGTCTATTAATTCATTTGGTGTCTCAGGAACTAACGCGCATATTGTGATGGATGATGCTTACCACTTCCTGAAGGAGTACGGATATAATGCACCCCATCAGACTGTTGATGTACCTCAGCTCCCAGATGCTGCTCGTAAGTCTAATATTAACACCCTTTAGTCTTTGCGTCACGTGTACGCATTTATCCTTATCTAATTGATCTTCAAATAGCCATTGAACAGAGTTTGCCATCTGGCAGTTCCCCTCAGCTCATCGTGCTGAGCTCACATGACCAAGATGGTATCTCCAGACTTGGTAACGTCTACAGTCAACATCCCTTCAACGGCTCATTCTATGACTTGGCGTTTACTCTGGCCGCTAAAAGAACTCACTTCAACTGGCGCACAGCATTCGTTGCTAATTCTGTTGAATCGTTGAAAAACACATTGACAGAAAAGTTGGAAGTCAAACGCGTTGGCGCCGACCATGGACTTGCATTTGTCTTCACCGGCCAAGGAGCGCAGTGGGCTCGAATGGGAATGGATTTAGTCCATTATCCGGTATTCAAGGAGAGTGTCGAGTTGGCTGATAAATATCTGAAAGAACTGGGTAGCACCTGGTCTGCGATTGGTAGGCCAGACCCCTTTAATGACTGTTACTTTGACGGTCTAATAGCTGATCTGATGCGTAGATGAGCTATCGAAAGCTTTGGAAGACTCCAGAATTCACGAAGCCGAATTCTCGCAACCCCTATGCACAGTCTTACAGGTTGCTCTCGTTGACCTACTTACATTCTGGGGTGTTACGCCACAAGCGGTTGCCGGCCATTCCTCTGGTGAGATTGCGGCAGGTTATGCTGCCGGAGCTATCTCGAGAGAAGCCGCTTGGAAAATAGCGTACTGGCGAGGTACGTAAGCCTACATATCATTTCTATGCTGATCATACTGACGTGGTCTTCTGCGAAATAGGACAATATTCTGCTAAGTTAGCTCGCTCTAATACTGGCCCCAAAACAACGATGGCTGCAGTAGGGCTGGATCTCGAATCAGCTACAAACTTCATCGATAAAGTGAACAAAGAAGGGTTCCAGGGCACTAATAAACTTACTGTTGCTTGCATGAATAGTAAAGACAGCCATACTATTAGTGGAGACGCCGCGCAGATTGATGCGTTGGTCGCATTGCTGAAGAATGATCAGATCTTTGCGCGGAAGTTGGCTGTCGAGTTGGCGTACCATTCGCAATACATGGAGCCCATGGCCGATGAATATACCAAATCTCTAGGTGATATTCAGGCAGGGCCTTCGAAGACCGACAGCCCGAAGCCAAAATTCTTCTCATCTACATATGGCACGATCATCGATCCGTCTAAGTTACAGGATGCAACATATTGGACCACTAACCTCGTTTCGCCTGTACGGTTCTACGAGTCTATGACAGCTATGCTTCAAGCTACGTCAGAGGATAGTCAATCTAAACTTATCACGGACA